GGTCTGTGCGCTAGTTTACTGCCTGCCCCCCTAGGAGAAGGTCGGCCCTGCGAGAGCGGGAGCCCTGCGCGCTTAGCACCCGTGTGTGTGTCCAGGGTCTGCCACGATTCCTGGAACATTGTAGGAACCCAAGCACGTTGTAGAATGAATGCTGCGGGTCGTGTGCTTTCTCGGCGGTCGTTCGCGTTGCGCGGGAGCTCGTGGTTTTGGGCTCTTCTTTGCATCTGACCACGGGACTGAACTCCCTTATTAGCGCCAAGCGCTTTTCTGTTAACACATTTGGGGATTCTGGGTAGACAGGGATCTCTTATGTAAATATCAATTCCGCCCTCTCCTTTCCTAAAGTTATACAACTTATTTCTGTTTCCTGCCTTATCGCTTTGGCTACATACAGTTAGTTGTTTTAAAGATGGTGTGTGACTGATGAAAATTATGAAGCGCTGGAAGGCCTGAGGCTCAAAGGGACAAAGGGACCAAGAAGCTGCAGAGTTAAGTGTGGTGTGATAATGGCCTGCATGGGATGTAGCTGAGAATTACTCAGAAAAACTATTGGTAGGACTTGATAATGGAAATAGGCATCATACAGGGGGAAATTCCCCAAACTCCAATCTGAATCAGGGTATTCTAATGCATTGGCTCCCAGACAACTTAATCCCACAGGCTGAGAAAATGTTCACATTTCTAAAGGGGGGCGGGGGAGGGGAGAATTATTATAGCCAACTGTTTATTTTATCAAGTGTCCATTTTTAACTACTAGATACTACCACAATTATTTTTTAAGGACCAAAAAAATTAGGAAGGATATAACCTGAAAACAAACAGCTTAATGGAAAAAAAGGAAATTAATTAGAATTCTCATTTTAGAAACAGTTCTGAGAATGCGAATCCAGGAGGAAAAAAAATTTAGCGAGTATGTCTCTGCTCTCTGACACTTAATCTGGCCACATCCAAAATATCTTATAATAATTAACGCTTTTCCAGTTTACACTGCAGTTTCACACACACGGTCCCTCTTAACCCTCCTAAAAGCACCCTGCGATGGATAGCAATAGAAATGCCAAACACGCATCTGCCGTGCCACTGTTCGCAAAGCAGTCTTCCCTGCGACGCCTACATTCCCTGGCATGTCACCTTGCAATTTGCAACCTATCAAACTCTCTACTATTTCCAGCCCTACTGAGAAATTGCCCACATCCAGGTTTTTGGGCAGATCCACCGTCCCTGTCTACTTTACTTGGAGAACTCCTATTCATCTATAAAACCCCAGTCAGGCCGGGCATGGCTTTCATACTCCTCCCAGTGCGGGGAGGGACAGAAAAGTGAGGGTCTGTCCAGCATGCCGGCCCTCAAGAGGGGGACTGACCCCTCAGTGCCCCATGGAAACCACATGCCTTAAGGTGGTTGCCCAAGACCAACCTCTGTGAGCCTTGGTTTCCTCATGTGTATAACCTCAAAATTACTATTATCAATTACCAACAAATATTAAGTGTCTACTACGTTCCAGATCGGACACTGCCAGTGCCTGGCATGTACTAGAGACAACCTCAGAAAAGCAGGACTCATGAAGGGGGCAGAGCCAATGCCTACATTTTCACTCTAATTACTATAAGCAGCTAATGGCCAGGCTGTTGCACCCCCCGAGACTTTTTCTTAAGAAATCTCTCCCTCTCTCTCTCTTTCTCTTTCTCTGCTCCTGCTTTTGAGCACTTCAAGGATATGTAGCCAACTTGTAGAAGAGGGAGCCCTTCTGCCTGAATTTCAAGTAAATTAACAAATTTCAAGCTGCTATGGTGGAAGTGAGGCCATCGAGAAGCCAGACATCTGCTTAAAGATGACAAGCATCCCTTTGTAATTACAGACACAGCAGTCTCAGGATTCCACCCTCTCCTCTTTGATCTGGAGAAAGAGAAAAGCCGGACACTTCCACGGATGAATTTGGAATTATAGATAGGGAAGTTAGACAATAAGGGGTGATATTTTCTTTCAGTACAAGATTCATCCAAATTATCTTTAACAAGTACATATTGCTCTTTTAAAATATTTTTTCTTTTTCTGAGCTCATTGAAAAACAGACTCAAGTGTAATCCCTTTTATAGGAGGGAAATTGTTTTTTTTCAAAGTCAGACCAAAAATGTTTGCACGTGTCAACCCCTATTTCGTGGCCCAGTAGCACTTTACCTCTATACCCCACCTTACAAACATCATCTCCAGTCCTTACAACAACCCCGTGCACAGGTTCAATTATTTTCATCTTACCATTGAGGAAACAAAGGCTCAAAGTCAGCTAGTTTGCCCAGGGCTACATAGTAGCAGGTGGCCAAGGTGACCAAAATCCTTGCCCTTCAGCTGTGTCCATGGGGTGGGTAAGCTTGTGACCTGCTCTGACCAGCTCCCATTCCCATCTCTACAGCCTCCATGTACTCGGAGATCCAGAGGGAACGGGCAGAGATTGGTGGCCTGATGGCCCGGCCTGAGTACAGAGAGTGGAACCCAGAGCTCATCAAGCCCAAGAAGTTACTGAACCCTGTGAAGGCCTCCCGGAGCCACCAGGAGCTGCACCGAGAGCTGCTCATGAACCACAGAAGGTGGGAACAGTGCTTGGCTGCCTCAGCCTGGCAAGCACCCCCTCAGGCCTGCTGGGGCTTGAGGAGGTGCCCCTTGTGGAAGGCAGGCCTGGTGGTAATCCCAGGCGCTCCTAGGAGCTTGAAGAGGGCTGAGGGTACCCCCCATGGTTACCAACAGAAACTGTGAAGATCCAAAAGCTGTTTTCCCACCCAGCTACTTACTTTGTGCCTGACCTGCACATTTACTGTGCACCTGCTATGTGCCAGGCACTGTGCCAGACCCTGGGGGTACAAGAAGGAATGTTCCTGCCCTCACAGAGGGGATGGATGCATACCCAGGTGGTATGATGGGTGCTTCCATGGGGTATGTTTCCAGCAGATGGATGAGCATGTGCAAATGGACAGGAAACACCAGTTGCACAGTGGCTGGAGCATAGATTGTGAGGTAGGCCAGAGGAAGGGTCCTGGGAAGGGTCTCAAGCAGGAGTGTCACAACCCTGGAAGGGGGCATGAATGGAGCAGGGAGGCTGGGGGATGCAATGAAAGAGAGAGGCCTGAGGTGGCAGGGCAATTGAATGAAAAGTGGACGAGGGGAGAGGGAAGCTGAGCTCTGTCCACGCAGGGCCCTGGAAAACAGTCCCCTTCACCAGTGCCAGAAGGAAGGCAGCCGCGCCTCCGCAGCTCCCTCTCCTGGCCGCTCGTAGTATTGACGCGGGCCTCGACTTTTCATTCTTGTTTTCAGCTGTATGCAAAGCATCTTCCCACGGATAACATTTTGTACCGTTCGTGGTGTTTGTTTGTTTTCTTCTTAGTCTATCATGAGTATTTCTCCAGTTGCCTTTTAGAGTTATCGCTTTTAATATCAAAAACCATCACCACAATTTTTAAAAAGCCTAAAGACAAATCAGGGGAAATATTTGCAATATAAATAACACACAAAAATTAATATCTACATACCTCTCACAAACCCACAAGGGAAAACTGAGCAAAAGGCAGGTATCATTAGATCACAAGAGAGGAAATGCAAATAGCTGGTCAACATCTCAAAGGCTGCTTGATGTGACTAATAATCAGAGAAACAAGTGAAAACCAGATATTATTTCTTGCCTACCCGATTCACAGATACGAAGGGATTGGATGGTGACGGTGGGGAGAGATAGGTGCCCTTGTGCACTGTTGACAGAAGTATAAATTGGATAGCCTTTTCTAAGGGGCAGATGAAAGTGCGTCCAAAATCTTTTAAGAGAGCCTGCCCTGGCGGCTACACCCCAGGAAACACATCCAGAGAAAATAACCTGAAAGAACATAAGCCTGGTCTCTGCAGTCAGACAGGCCTGAGTGCAAGTCCTCACTCAGCCCCTTTGTAGCTGTGACTCCGGCCAGTGTCTAAACTCCTAGGAGCCTCACTTCCCTTCTCTGTATGATGGGACAGTAGGGCCCCCCCCACACACACACACACACAAGCACACACACACACACCCAGACTGCCAGGAGGGCTGCACGAGGTAACGGTGGAGGGTGGAGGTTGGTGTCACCTCAGGGTGCAGCCTTGAAATGGGGGTGGGGGAGTTGGGGTCTCCTGACGGCTTCCCCTGCCCCAGGGGCCTGGGTGTGGACAGCAAGCCCGAGCTGCAGAGGGTCCTGGAGCACCGCAGGCGCAACCAGCTCATCAAGAAGAAGAAGGAGGAGCTGGAGGCCAAGCGGCTGCAGTGTCCCTTCGAGCAGGAGCTGCTGAGACGGCAGCAGAGGCTGAGCCAGGTGAGAGGGGCACCCAGCCCAGCTGTGCCTCCACCAAGCACGTTTCTTGGCCCAAGTAAGAGCTCTGCATGTGGCAGCATCTGGCAAGTTGAGCAAAATGAGGACTGGACCGTGAGTCCACTGTTGGCCTGAGTCCTCACTCCACCACTCGCTTTGCTGTGTGACCCTGGGCCAGTGGCTCCCCCTCTCTGAACCTCCGTTTCTTCATATGCCCAATCTGTCACATGTTGATTCTGACTTCATTCTCACAACTGCCCGGTGAACCAGATGGCATTCCCATTTTAGAGATGAGAAACCCGAGGCCCAAATGCAGTAATAAGCAATTTGAACTAGGCTTCACAGAGAGAACTTAGTCTCGTGCTCTGTCCCCCCACCTACCAGGCTGGTGGCAAAACTGACCCCTGGTTCTGTTTCCCTAGAGAGGGCCCTTGGTCCAAACTCAGTGGCTTTTGAGTCTCAGAATTCCCCTAACCCCACCCACTCACACCTCTCCCCTCTCTTTCAGCTGGAAAAAATGCCAGAAAAGGAAGAAGACCATGCCCCTGAATTTATTAAAGTCAGGGAAAACCTGCGGAGAATCACCACGCTGTCTAGTGAAGAGCGAGTGCTGTAGAGCTGGCTGGTGGAGCTCCAGCACCCCGCAGCCCAGCCCTGGCCCTACACCCTCCCCCAGCCGTTCTGCATCTGGCAGCCCTGGGCCCCTGGGCCTTGGGATATGTGTTAAATTCATGCTTGCTCCTGTAAAACTGCATTGTCCCAGAGGCCCTCTTCCTCCCCCAAAGCTGGGGGTCCCCTAAGCTCCCAGATTTTTCTTCTGAGCACTCACCCTCCTGCTCCAAGAGGAAGCTACTACTGGGAAAAGTTTCACAGGGTACCTCTCCCTGAAGGGGCTCTGAGCCCCACTGAGACTTTCCTGGCAGAGCTGGGAAGAAGGGACAGGGGTCTCTCTGGCCTGACAACCCTCCATTCTGCCCAGGCCCCCAGAGGGCCCTGATTCTCTGGGCAGCTCAACTCGCAGGCCTCAGAGGACTTCCCTGCCTGTGGTCTTACCTGCAGCCAGGTGTGCGAGCATTTCGGGACACCTGCCTTGAAAGCCAACCAAGGGGAAACCAGTTCAGGCGCAGCTGTCCTTAGTGAGGAGGGCAGGGCAGCCCTCGGTGACCTGGTGGCTCACATCATGGCAGGTGGGAGGGGTACTAACAAAGACAGCTTCTTAGAGTTTGCCAGCCTTTCCCCTCACCCCCTCCTTCCACAGCCCTCCCCGTCCAGGCCTTGTAACCACACCCAGCCTGGGCTGCAGCCTTCCCGCTCCCAGAGGTCTGGAACAGCGCTTCTCAAGCTATTGTGCCTACGCATCATGGGGATCTTGTTGAAATACGGCTTCTGAGCCAGTAGATCCGGGTGGGGCTGAGGGTCTGCATTTCTAACAAGCTCTAGGACGACACTAAGCAAGGCTGGAGCACCCTGGGGTGCTAAATATTGGAAACATCATCCCTGAAGCCATCTCTGCCCTCCAACTCCCACGAGCCTGTGCCCTGGGGGTTTCCACCTGCCTCTGCAGCCCTCGGGGCTCTTTATTGTCCAGCCCATCCTGGGCCCCAGGCCTGAGAAGACTTTAAAGCATGGCAGATTGGGTCAGGTATGTGGTTGTGGTTCTCAGACAGATGTATGTAATTGCCAATCTGCATTTCCTACCGTGCTGGTGTGATGCAATTCCAGCCAAAAATTAATAATTTTCTTACCTTTTCCTAAAGCCTATGGAGGGCAGATATACAGTGGTTTCCAGTAGGTTTCTGGAAATATAAACAGTGGAAAAGACCCCACTGCCACCCTCATGGACTGGCCCCTTCGAGTCCCCATTTCCAGCCTCTGTACCTGAGACCCAACCCCACTTGACTTCTACCACCTGGGCCAGCTCCAGTGACTTCATCCACTCTCCCTCAAAAATCCCTCCCACGCGAGACCTTTTGCTCCCATTCTTCAAGAGTTAAAGAATAAACCAGCCCTGTTTCTTTCTTTCCTGAAGTATAGACCCTGCCTCTGGCTTTGTAACCCCCATTTGTGGAGACTGGGCAGTGCAGGGAAAGCATTTCTTCTCGCCCCAAACTGCAGGAAACAGCTGCTGCTGGGATGCCCTTTGATTCTTGACCAGCAGTGGGGCCTACGGGAGGAAGGGGGCATCCTGGTCTTCCCCCTGACTGCGTGCTTAGGGGGTGATCGAAGACGTCTTTTTTCTGTGAGTGGTGCCAGCGTATGGGTGTGAATAGAGAGATACTGCCTGAGTGTGCATGTGTGAGTGTGCGTGCGTGTGTGTGTAAGTCAAGCTCCAGAAGGCTCTCGGAGGTGACCGTCTCCGTGGGAATGTGGCACCGCTGTTTTAATGTCTGCCAGGTGAGGCGATGCTCAAGATGTATCGTCCCTCATAAAGACGGCGCTTCCCCAGAGAAGCCGCCTCCGGGATCAATATGTTGTTCAGACATGTGAAGAGAAGCATGACAGTGTCTAGGCTGGAGTAGGCCCTTTAGGATTTCACTCGGGTCACCAGGGGTGCTTCAGGGAAGCAGCAAGTCACAGAGACAGAGCCCAGATGTAGAAGGGACCTCAAGTACCACTCATCCAGTGGAGCCACGGCAGACGCCCCTGTTCACTCCCCAGTGGTAAATCCCAAGTCCTTTCTAGCCACCTCCTACTGTTGAGGTGGTAAATCCAGATTCTCACTATTCCAGCCTCCTTTGCAGCTTGGGGAGAGCATGTGACCAGGTATGGGCAGTAAAATTTAAGAGGAGGTCTGTGGGACTTCTGGGAAAGCTTGTGCTCTTCTGATAAAAGAGACAGACATGGGGAACACCTCCCTGTCCCTCCCTTCTTCCTGCCCTGATTGAGGATGTGATGCCTGGAGCCACAGCAGCCCTCTTGCTACAATGAGAAAAAGGCCAAGACACTGACCCTATCATTATTTAACCAAGCCAATGCCAGCAGCCATCCTCCTCCAGAATTCTTGTAAATAAAAATAAAGCCCTCTTTGTTTAAGCCATTGTTGGTCGGTCTCTATTATTTGCAGACAAAAATATTCCTGACACACAAAGCCAACCCTGCTGCCCATAATTACCTGCAGACTCCTCTTTCCCATAAGAAACCTACTGGATCAAGGTTCCCCAGCAGCAGTACCTGGGGTCTGCTTTTCTGCAACTTCTCCATATAGCCTACGTGGCATCAGTCTGAAACCAGCATTTGGAGATCACTAATTCAATAAATATTTGTTGAGTGCCTGCTCTGTGCCAGGAAGCATGTCATGTTTTGGGGGCACAGTGGGAAATGAAACATCTGGAATACTTGAGGGGCCACCTCCCAGCTGGTCTCCTTGCTTCTGCCCGGGCCCCATACAGCCTGTTCTCAACAGGGTGGCCAAGTAATCTTGTTAAAATCTAAGGCAGATCTTGCCATTCCTCTGCAGGGCCCTCCACTGGTTCCCAGCAGAGTCCTTCCTGTGACCTAGAAGGTCCTTTATGTCCAGCTCCCTCTTCACCTCTTACCTCCTGCCCACTGCCCTCCCACCTTGTTTATGCAGCTGTCCAGCCTGGGCTCCTCACACCCACCAAACACACCTGACCTCAGTGCATTTTCACCTGCTATTGCGCAGCCAAGAATGTTCTTCCGCAAGGAGCCACACAGCCTGCTCCCTCACTTTCTCCAGGTCCTTTTCATGCTCTTGCTAAATGAGGTCCCCCTTGGTCACCCCATCTAAAATCTCAACATCTACACATTCCTATCCCCTCCTTCCCTGCCTTATTTTTCCTCCTTACCATTTATCACCATCTAACATATTGTATATTTTACTTACTGACCACATGTCTCTCCTAATGATAATGTCAGCAGCATGAGGGCAGAGATTTTTGTCTGTCTTGTTCCCTGCTGATTCCTAAATGGCCTTCCTCCCTCCTCCTTCCCAGCCAGCAGAGGGCTCAGCCCACATAAATCTGGCAAAGTGGGCCCCAGGGACCAGAAGCACAGATCATCCCACTCCCAGCTTTGAGAAAAAGCAATGGCCAAATAGAGCATAGGGCACATAGCCGGTGCTCGATAAATGTTTGTTGGATGAATGAGAGACCCTCTCTTCCCCATCTCCGGCCTCTTCCCAGATCCAGCCCCTCCCATCCCCATCACCCACCTGTCTCCTTCCTCCACAATTTTGACCCTGGCCCAGAGATGTCAGTTTGGTCCAGAGGCTTTCCTTTGGCCACTTGGCCCACTGGCATTTGTGCCTACAAGGCCCACACTGGAGCTGCGTGGCTCTCACCCAGTCCTGGAGACCTTGGAGAAGGGAGGAGCTGCTGCAGGAGCTCTGACGTGAGACCTGCCCAAATGGAGGTCAAGAGCAGCAAGCCCTGTTCTCAAGGAGGCCACATTCTCTCCCGCCCACCAGACCACAAGCCCTGGTTTGGGTTGGAGAGCACCCTCTTCAGTGGCACACCAGCACTAACTGCAATGTCCCGGAGAGAGGGAAATCCTAGGAGGCAATGGGACTCCCTCCCTGTTCTGCAGTGTGTGCTCCTGGGGAGCCCTCAGATCCCAGGGGCTCTTGCAGCCTCGCCACACTTGATACTATACTAATTCCTGGGCCATGACGGCAGGGTCCCTGTCTGATTCTGCTCACATTTACCAGTCCCAACCCAGGGCTCTGCACATAGTAGGTGTTCAGAAAGGTTGCGAATGGGTGTCAGTAAAGATCACTGCATTTATGGAAGGCCAGCCATGTCACCACCTATGATAAGTCAGTATCATCATCCCCACTTTGCAGATGAAGAAACCAAGGCTCAGGTAAATTTAAATTAAGGGGCATGACATAAGTCACCAAGCCATGCCTGGGGAGAGATGACATTCACACAGCTGTCTGTCCGCAAAGTCTGCCTTTTTTCTGTGATAGCCGGGCCTTGCTCTTAGAAGCTCATAGGAGGCTCCTGTGCCCTCCTGACCTTTTGCCCTGAGATTGGGAACCTATTTCACCTTCCACTTGTGATTTGTCCATCTGAACTTAAGGGATTTGACCTCCACCTATAAAAAGAGACTCAGGCCAACACAGACCGACATGAATCCTGGGGTTAGGACCTCTGCACACTGCCATGGCCCCACCTCTGATGTCACATCCCCACCCCTAAAGCCACCAGTCTCTGGGTCCAGCCAGCAGGTTAGACT